CAAAAATATTATTTCAGAGTCTGAGATACTGTTGGTCTGTTTCATGACTTTTTTTTTTCCTTTAACATGAAAATCTATATCAAAAAGCCCCTGTAGGATCTCAGGTGTGAATGGTCTTTGGTGTTTTTCTGTGCTGAGTTTTCTTCTCTGGAACTCTCTTTCCAAGACAGAGTTATCTTTTCCACTACAAGCAGAAATCTCCTTCCCTTGAAACTACCTGTTTTGCTTAGGTCGGATAAACCTAGAAACTGTCGCTACAGTAGCAATATCCAGATCAGTAATTGCTCGGGGAAATGAGTCCTCCAGCGTGCCCGCCTCTAGGCTCAGCAAGTCGCTATTGCCACCAGAGGCAGCAAATTCAAAAGTGTGACCTCCCTGGGGAGCGGGCTGCAATAGGTGGTAAACACTGCACATGAGCACGGGGTAAATGATTTGTGCTGCCTGACGGGGATGCTTCAGCCCCTTCTGTCCCGAAGCAAAAGGAGCAACTAGAGGACCACAGTAAGGCACACCTTGTGTATCGCTGCTAATGCTTTGGTTTACTTAACTCTGTGGTTTGACTTTACGGAGGTTAATTTCACGTGTTATTGCAGATGGTGATGGGATATATATTGGTTCTGTTTTCCTTTCTAGGACTCTTTTTCTTAATGGAGGTTTGTATTGTTTGTCTGTTGTACAGGCATTGTTGCATTTGCAGTTCATCCGGTATCAATTTTCTATCCTAAACCCATCTTTACAGACTTCAGTCTACATCGTACCTAGGCATGCCATCAGAATGGCACCATAATGTTAAAATAGTGACATTTTAATAATTAAGTTTTAGAAACTTTTTGCTGATGAAAATAGTTAGGACTTTTTCCTTCTCTTTCGTTTTCTTTTTTTTTTTTTTTTTTCCTTTTCCTCTTCTTTCTCTTCCTCTTCTTTCTCTTCTTATTTTTCAACAAAAATACTGTGTAAGAATTTGCAGAAAGACAATTCTGTACCAGACCCTCAGGTGAGACTTAAACTCCACTGCAGTTCAGCACATGCCAGCATTGAGAATATAATGCCTCCAAGCGTTGCTTTCATCCCAGATCTCAATAGCACCAGCCTGGGTTACTGTGTAATAATATTCATGTAACGAAGGAGCCCAGTTGACTTTCTGGGCTGAGCTGGTGTAAATTAGCCTGGATCTTGTCAGAACAAACTTGGAAAAAAAAAATAATATGTTCTTTTCTTGTTCATATAGTTTTCCATAAGCATCCAGAGTTGGGCACAGGATGTGGAACTTGATGCATCTCCAGCCTGGTCCACTCCCACTTGATGTTTTTAAGACTCCAGTACAAACAAGGGGGTAATAATAGAGAGCACAGAGCACGTACATGATATGCTGCTTGCTCTAAAGTAGGTGCTCATGGGATCATATCTGGCTTTTCTAGAACCTATCTTTCATTGATCCAGTTAGAAATTCTGTTCCTAAAGTGACAGATTTTGGATTGCTAAATTTTCTCGATAGGAAGAGACAAATGCACTCTCTTGTGCTGCTTGATGTAGAAAAGAGCAGTCCTTGTTACTTTTACCTAGTTTGCATTGTAATTGGAAGGAACAAAGCTTCACACCAACATCAGCACTTAAGAAGCGAATTCTTCCTGTGGATAGGAAGGCAAGGTTCTTATTAAAAAAAAAAAAAAAAAAAAAAGATCTTTTTCTTCCCCAGATACTTCTTGGGTTGTTTGGTTGCATGTTTTTTGGATGAATGGTCACAATCTTTTTTTGCTGCATAGGAAGCACCTTGAGATGAGGCTTAAAGACAAATTCCTTCCCACCCTTGCAAGTAGCCCTGGAGCTGGTGCCCAGCTGGCAGCCTGCCTGGGCAATACCCAGGTATGTGCTGGGCTTCGGAGCACATCCCAAGGCTCGTACCTGCAGCGTGGGCAACCATCAGCTCTCTGTGCAACTTGCAGCAATCCCACTAGTGCAAAGTCACGGCGTGGCCAACCTCAGGAAAAAAAAAAAAAAAAAAAGATGTGCTGGGATGCATCCTGAAAGGGTTCTGAAATCTCCAGATGAGGCCAGATGAGCTTTCCAAGCAGGCTGAGTCTGGAGTGACAGGGTGAGCACTGTGCTCCTCAGGCATCCCTATGAAGTACCAAGGACAGGGGCTGTTACAGAGACACAAAGACTGTGCAGCCTTTTATGACTACTTGTTGTAGGGTGCAGTGGTCCAAATTCAGGTCTGGTGGAAGGAAATGTGACTGTCCTGAAGATACTGGAGTTTCACCATGTTTTATTCTCCCTGAATATGATCAACCACTGTGCTAGGCCTAGCCACCTAGTCCTATTAGATCTATAAGAATTTATTAGGTAGACATTATCTCCTTATAGCCTCTTTAAACCTCTTCTATTTCATCCAAAGCTGGATATTTTTCTGGATGTTTCATTTCTGTGTCTTGATCAGTGAGCTCTTAACATGCTGTTTAACAACATCGGTGTTAATGTGATCTGATGCCTGGTTCAAGTACACTTAAGTGAATGCATTTTGATTTTACGCCTGTTAGCTTTGTTCAGTAACAACAGCTAGCATAATCCCCATAACTCGGGGTCATTGACTGAGACAAGCAGTTCCTTGCTCTTTATTCCATCCTGATGGATCTCAGGGGACCCTCACGACAGCCTTCCTGTTTCAGCAACTACTCCTCTTCTCACTTACCAGGGATCCTCAGGCTAGGATGTTGGCTTTCGGTGTAGTGACAGCTTCATAGCTCCACACCAGCTCTCCTCTGCTGTATCGCCCACGTGTCCTGCGACCAGCCTGGGATGCAGAAGGAATGGTGCTCAGACCTGTGGGATGTCTCTGTCTCCCTTCTCAAGACATTTCTCTGTTTCAGTGACAAAGCTGGAGCAGTTTTGTAACCACTCAAGATGTCTAATTCTAGAAGAAGCAAAAAGAAGATTTTGCTTTTTGAAAATGCCAGGTTAGACAGGGTCATTGAAACTGAGGACTCCTATAATATTTGCAGCTGAATTAAAGCTCAGCTGTATGCTGAGAGCAGGTCTCAGTTGATGCACCAAGGCTCGACAATCCCATTAGTGTAAAAAAATGAGATAAAAGGGGAAGAAAATGAAAAACATTCAGTACTGATGGAAACATCGCATTGACAGTGGAAGAGGAAAGCAAATATTTGATGTCTTTACATTGTAACTTGTAAATTCTTAAAAATAAATAGCGACAATCAGAATATATGGTGCTCATCCGCTTTGAGAAAAAAGTTACATTTCTTTCTAGACCACAGCCACGTTCACAATGGGATGTCTGACCCATGGATATTTAATTCTCTTTCTGCCACTTCAGTTAGGAAGGAAGAATCCTGGCGTGGCTCCTCAGAGCAGCAAGCTGGCCTACAGCTTTAAATAGAAAGTTAAAAATAAAAAATTTTCAGCTCAAGTCAACCGGCTCGGTCAGAACTTGCCTAGTTCCTAAGCCAGTGACCTGCCAGAAATGTTGGAGGCCACCTGGTACCATCTGATATACTCCTCTTCCCTGCCTTCTCCATGATGAATTGACCACTGTGGGGATATGGAAGCAAAGAAAGGGGCCCCAGAGTGCCACAGGGAAGTACTGGTCACAACACATCATCTGCACAGATACACCTGGGTCTTCTGGGATGGTGAAGACTTGAATCTAAATTATTTCCTGGGCAAAACACCATCAGCTTCACAGGAGGGACATGAACCTGAGGAAATAGCTAAGTTGTGTTATTATTCTGACATGGAGAAAGAAAATGCTTCAGTGCTATGATTGGTCTCTGCTGAGAATTAACAGCCTGCTCTGCCTGAAATAAGGAAGCTTTGGAAATTCAAGCATTTAAAATGTATCCTCAGTGTGGTGGTTGTTTTTTTTTTCAATCACAGAAACTGTTAATCAAAATAAAAAATCCATAATTTTACTATGACTGACACATTCTTCACTGCAGGGAGAAACTCTTAAGAAAAATAATCAAAGCAAATTTTCATTGTGTAAATCCAACATCTCATTCTGTAAAGGTGAATTGGTGTTCAGTGCTTGCCTTTCATTTCTAATGCAGTAATTGTGTTATCTTGAGCACTGTAACTTGTCTTAGGAATTTAGCCAAAAACTTCTGGAATCTATTTTGAATGATTTTTGAGAAAAGGTGATAACAAAGCAGCATTTAAAATGCTTACATTTTCCTTTGGATTTGTTCTTTATTGCAGTGCAAGTAGATTGCACTGATTATCATTCTGGGAAAAAAACAATTAGTGAGACTCTCAGAGATCAGACGTCGTGAGGACTGAATGTGTTGAGCAAAGAGTTCATTTGAACTGGTTTTTCTTTTTCAGACACTGCAAATGGATGTAAACAAGCTGAATATCACATTGCTTCGGATATTTCGCCAGGGAGTGGCTGCAGCACTGGGACTGTTACCTCAGCAAGTTCATATCAACAGGCTCATTGTAAGTACCAAAAGGCTAGGTATAATAAAATTTACCTGGTTATTTAGAATGCTCTTAAATTTATTTTCCTTTCATTATGGAAAACTTCAATAAAATAGGACAGAAAAATACTTTGTTTTGATAGATTTTTTTCTGAACTGCACTACAGAAAAATAGATCTCCATTACAAAATGACTTACATTTTCTTTTGAAAGGAAGCCATTCATAGTTACAGTCTAGAGAAAAATTAAGTCAGATAAATCTCTTTTGTGTCTTATTCATATGCAGTTTTCTTATCCCTTGGTTTGCATTCCGGTGTAGTTCTTCATCACATTCATTAGAAGCTGCTTATTCCTTTTTTGTTTCTCAAAGGTTGAATCTTGCTCAAAAAATACATGTGATTCTGCCTTTCAAAGACATCTTCACAATTAATTCTCAGACTTTCCATTAGTAAAATAAATGTTTTCTCACAGTATTAATATTTACAGCTTGCTATTTAGCTATAACAACATATGCTTGGATGTGACCTTTTGGACTAAGGTATAATGTTTGCAAAAGATTATGAGAAATTTGTTTCCAGCAAAGACTTAAAAAACAATTTTCATCATTTTTATTTTCTGTGGATGGTAAAGGGCATACATTCTTAAAACTGGTCTCTTTTTTTCTGACAGTTTTTTAATGAAACAAGAAAAAACACAACAATATCATGTGTGTATTGCTAGCCTTCCATTCACATTGCACAGGAAAGCAGAGTTATGGTATTTTATTCTACCTGAAGGTTGAATATTAGGGAAGAAAGTTGACAGGCTCAGCATAAAAGTATTTCCTGCCTTGATAGCTTGATAGGATTGTATACATCAAAAAGGATTATAAAACACCTTCAAATAATGTCTCTGTGAGAAAGGATCACACAAGATGCACAGTGGAAAAGATCAATAGGAATGCAATGCAGCCCTTTTCATGTTTGCCAGGGACGTCACTCATTCTTGACAGGTGATGCTGAATGTCTTTTGTCCTTTGTATTAACCTGAATGAAAGACATATTCAGAGAAAAACACAATTAAATGAGAAACGTTCCAGAGTTTGGGGTGTGTATTCAACACACCACGTCACTTGGTAGCCTTCTTACTAAGCTCTGTGGAAATCATCTAACTAAGCAGATGAAAGATGCTGTTAATTTTCCTGCTGACTGATAGATTTTCACTTTCTCTTCTCATCTGTGATCCAAGGGAAGAGGTAGCAGCATTTTGCACCTGTGTATACCTCAGAATACATGAAGTACTGTTAATTAATTAGTCTTCTCGACATCCGTAAAGGGCTGCTATGACTTCTGTTTTTTAGCTATGTAGGAATAATACAAACTTTTGCCACATTTGCTCTTAAAACCACAGAGTCAAAATTCAGAAGAGAAAAATACAGTTTAGGAAGCATTATTCCCACCTTCCCATCCTTTTAACATGAGCCAGTTCCTCTCATGGACACAAGCAAGCTGGGCATATTGAAATTCATCTCACCTCTCTTCAGCCCAGTCTTAGGTGCTCATGTAGGGTCTTTCTGAAGGCAGTATAGAGAAGGGTAGTGAGAAGGAGAGGCATTGAGATCCCAGTTATTTTAGGGTGGATGCAATCATTCTCTGGAGATACCAGCCTCTCTCCACTGGCTTTGGAGGTAATTTAGATGATGGAAGGGAGGTAAGCTGATATGTAACAGCACACACTGTGCCACAAGATATTAACTGGGCATGTCCAGCATCTTCTCAGTCTTTCCAGGAAATCCTCGTCCCATAAAGTCCTGTTAAGGCAGAGGATCTCCTAACAGAGCAGGCACAAAACATTGGGAATGCTGCACCCTCACCAGGCTTTGCTTTGTGCCTGCCATCTACACCTGGAAGTGGGCACTTACCCATGCCAGAGACCAAGTAAGGCTGCAGCCTCAGAGCTTCAGCCTGACAAGAAATCCCTGACACTGCAGAGCTGTGGGGCTGTGTTCCCTCCTCACGGCCCTGCTGGGCTGAGCAGGCCTACTGAGCAACGCCAGCCCCACCAGTTTTGTTGAGCAGGTGGACCCCTGGCACAAGTGAGAGCACACAGGGCAGGTTTAGGGTATGCGTGTGAAAATGTCCCTTTCTATGCAGCACTAATTCTGAATGCAATCCGAGGCTTTTTAAGAATAGCAAAAGATGTCTTTTCTATGCTTCAGTGAAGATAATGATGTGCATTGAAAGCGAGGGGGAGAGCAGGATTAACCCAGTCTGATTTCTCCCCATGCATACCAAACCCCAGATAACCAGAGCAGTGAAGTTCTTGCCCATGCAGGCAGCCTCAGCCAGGTTGTGCACAACCTTGGGGCACCCCATTATTGTGGTTCATGCACACCAGCACTGAGCTCAGGTGCTGTTCTGGTTGTTGATAACCGAGCAGAGGAACCCTCTGGCAATTTTTCCTTTCGCTGTCCTGCTACAGAGCCAGCATCACTGACATCTCTAATACAGCACCACTTCATTGAGACCGGGTCAGGAATTAATGGCGGGGAGAATTAGGCATGCTCAGCCTACTCATTAAAAGTAAGCAAAACTTTCATTTCGTTGTGCTGTCTTAAGGAGTTACACTGCACTCAGCTGAAAGGGCATTATACTTCACTGTAGTGTGTGTTTGCAACATGTTGACGCCGGATTAGAAAGCAATGCCAAAATACCACGGCATTATACTAAGCATTCCTGTTAAGGCCCAGCATCTAAAACAGGACTGCACTTCAGCTCGGATCAGACCTGTCAGCTAAAAACCCCGCTGGCTCTTTGCCCTTATCCCATGCATGGCTCCTCCCCTCCCCATGAGACACCGATCTGTCTTGTTCAGTGGTACAAGGCTCAGAAGAGGGGACCTTGTCAACAGTAAATGAGATAAAGCCCATCTACCCACATATGATATTTTGCATTTCCTTGCACGGTCAGCTGGAATTTAAGGAGGCAGGGAAAATGTGCACTTTCCTCACAGAGCAGGCTGCAGCCTTTCTATTCCATGCATTCATTTCTGGACATATAGTTAAAATCTAGAGACAGAAGAGGTTATCTAATCTCAGAATTTTGTTATGATTTTGCCTTTTTTTTATTATTATTTATTTTCCTAGGGGAAGAAGAACTGTGTGGAACTGTTTATTTCCCCAGTGAACAGAAAGCCAGGAATTTCTGATGCGCTCCCATCTGAAGAAGTGCTGCGTTCACTGAATATCAACATTTTGCATCAGAGTTTATCCCAGTTTGGAATAACAGAGGTCTCCCCTGAGGTTGGTTATCACTTTTTTCACCTGTAGTTTGTTAGGCAGTTTTTACAGCCCTGGTAGTTCTCAGGCTGAGGTTCTCATGAATGAGACAGGGAAGTATAAACTAAGATGGCATTACTGCTGTAAGACAATTACACAGCTAGTCCTGTTAAATTACCTTAATGGTGTTTTGTAAGGCTGTTTAAGAATTAGGATCCAGGTCCTCCTGCAGAAAGAGATGTTGTTTAAGAATCTTGAAGATGCTTTCAGTATGAAAAATAAAATATAAAAACAGGGTCATTTTAGGGCAATTTTACGTGCCCTACAGCAGCCTGACATTATGAAAATGAGATGATTCTCAGGTTTTAGCTGTTTTCATACAAAACAAAGCCAAGTGATGTTGTCCAAAAGTCGGATCAGGTCTTTATATTGCTCAATGGCAGCTTGGACTAAGCTCCCTTTAGATTACAATTTCCTTTGCTACAGAAGCATATGATTGTGACAGTGGTGATAGATGCAATTATCTCTTCCAAGTATTTCAGGTACAAGTAACACTTCAGGTAGCTATGGGACAAGAACATACGTGAATAATAGATGAGTAAAGAAATGTCATCAAGATATGTACAGATGCTGGAGAAAAAACAATGCTGAACTCAAGATCTCATCTGTTAGATGGTAATCATGAGTGCTCAGGTATTGGAATTTTCTCTCTGAAAAAAGTGTACACCAACAGAGGGAATCTCGTTGAAAAGGATGATTAGAATGAAAGTTGTGCAGCCTCTACTTCCTTCTAGTACTGTTGGAGGAACAAGAGGTTATTTTAATATTTCAGTTGCATGTAGATTATACTGCTAAGACCCCAATCCTGCAAAAATCTTGCAGCTTTACACTAATAGATATTCCTTTTGGGTCTTGATAACTTGTTTGCATGTGTAAGACTTCACAGAAAACAGCAGCTAAAAGACAACAATATATAATCTTTACTTGCTCAACTACTAACCAGTAATTTACTCTTCAATCAACTTCATCTAAGAACAAATCTTTCCAATCAAAATAACAGCAAAGAAAATCAAAACAAGCAAACTTTTGAGGGGGGATATACAGTTACTTTAAGACATAGCTTTGACACATTATTTTACCCACTTTGTGTGTTTATTCCTGAGCTATCAGCCCTAATTAATTCACGAGCGAATAAACTGTAAGTCTTCCACTGATGTGAATCAGTGCTTCCCAACCAGTATCACACGTGCACTAGCAGTGTATCTGTGCAGAAAAGAAGCATTATCCTCATCTTCATAGGTGGGTAGCTGACGCAGAGGTATTAGGGCTGGATTTTGTCTCCAATTTTAGCTGTCTTTTTCATTATTAGCTGCATAAGACTTGAAAGTCTACCATTTCTCTGCAGTAAACTGAAAGAAAAAGATACCTCCAGCAGGCAGTTCAGCCCATCTTTGATGTACCTCCTCTGAGCTTGCTTGGTTGACTCTTTCCAGCAGGGCTTAGTGTAAACTAGACTCCCAGCTGGAAGGGGTTAATGGTAGGGGAGATTGCCATGTCCTAAGAAAATTTACCAAGGTAGTGTAGGAAAACCTGCGTAGAAAACTAAGGCTCTTTCCTAAAGTCTCAGCCCACGTGACACCATGAACAGTAAAACTCTCAGTGGATGTAGGTGACTGGCACTGCATTTCCATTAATTCCAGTAATAATTTTCCAATTCACACTACTGATGCATTAATCACTGATGACTTTATTTTAAATTAATTACCTGTCTCAAAACTCATATCCTAGTTTCTTACTGTTGCTGGAAGAGACGATTTCCTATATATCTTAGCTGTAGGAACCACTGGAGTCCTTTCCTGCCTGGTCTAGAATGGGAAGGGTACCTGTGGGAACGTGAAAATTTAATTTAATGGAGTCATTGCCATTTCAAAGATACAGGGCAATAGATCTTTTCATTTGTCCTTTCTCTTCCAGTGGCCTATTGTGGCTGTAGCATTTGATCTTTTATTATGATCTAAAATTTGTGGCTGCAGAGGAATTTAGGACTGTATTATCCATAGCATGTCACAGGGCTGGAAGCAGACTTCCCTATAACAAGCAGCTAATGAACTGTTTTTTCTTGGTGGGACTAAATTCAATCACATATGCAGTCTCTGTGAGAATTCTAATGCCTTAAAATGGTGTTGAGGAAAAAAAAATACTATGCAGTCTCAGAGTTTAGTAGAGTAGAAAAGGACTTTGAAGTGGGTTTGGATAAAGAAGTAATTGAAATTACAGTAAGTAACGCAGGGTTTACCATGCTTTGTGAGATAAACTGCTAGCTAGAAGATGTGGCACTAAGGAGAAATCTGCATGGGAGAGTATATTCCAAAATTATGCAATCCCAAAATGTACAATTACAGCAGCCTCTATTAGGCTTCTATTGTTTGGCTTTGAAGTGTGTGATATTAACTGCTGCTAGAGAAGAAATCAAAGGAACCAGTCATGCACTTAAACCATACAGAAACCATAAGTCAGTGAGCTGGCTGGTGCATGAAGGGGAGCCTCCAGGCTGTCAGCGTTTCCATGAGATCGCATCACTTCGTCGCACACACGTGCAAGGGGTGAATACTGGTGTGGAGAGAATGGTCATGAAACTGAAAGGTGACCTTGGCAAAAGCAAAATGTTGCATAGTTGGTATCTTTGAGGAGGCTTTGTCGTAGGGGATATTAAGTGGCAGTAATCTAGTGTTTGAGGAGGCCACAGACATTCCTGCATATTTTCACTGGAGGGGAAGTGATTTCTTGTCAGACCTTCCTACCCTGCCTTAGTTAACTTAGTTAAATAGCCGAAAAAAGCAAAGCAACCCAGTATGAACTTCGATAAACCCCGAATAATCCTTAAGGTTCAATCCTTAGCTCCCTGGAAGCTTTCCTCTGAGCCCTGAACTGCAGCTTGCCTTGCTTCCATGATCATTTCAGCCTAAGGAACTAGCTGGGATTACCTGATGCAATTTAAGAATTCACCCTTTTTTTCCCATGAAGACTTAATTTTCCTAGCAACTCCTGAAATCTTGGTGGGGTGTTTCAGTCACAGACTCCTTCAGGATAGTGTCTCTCTTGATATCACCAAGAGCTGGCTGCTCATTTTAATTGTTTGTAGAAATAATCCACTAGGTTTCCATAAAACCAGTACGAAAAGTAGATTCATAATGTCTGGGGTTTTAAGTCTTTAAAAAGTCATTTGTCTAAACACACTTATCCCACTGTAGAGCAAAGCAGACCCTTCTGCAGGCACTCTTCAATGCGGCTAGCAATAGCAAGGGATTGTGTAGAATATACAATGTGATTCTTTCCCACCTTAAATGATGCCAAATTAAAACTGTTTAACGAACCTGGCTAATTCTGCCTAAATCACCTAACTGTGGGGACTTCTTAGGGAATGGAGACAGACACCAAGGATGATGGACACGATGATGGCCATCCTCCCTGCAGCCAGGCTTGCTTTGGGACCTGGCAGGGCCTGAGCTACTGAAACTCCCCAGCCAGCCCACCCGCTCCTGTATTCCCCCTGCCTGTACCAGCTGTGCCTTTTCGCTGACTTTATCTTCCTGTCCTCTGATGACTGTTGTATACTCCCACTCCTCAAAAACCGGCTGCAAGCTGTAGTGGATTTGCAGGCAGGGAAAAGCTGAGTGCGAGAAATGTGGAGCAACATCAGTCAACTGAGATGGAGCACATTGCTATGTGGGAGGCTCTGGGCCCATCACCATGGACAGAAGCACTCGCTCTCCCTTTTTTTTTTTTTACTTTTTCCTCTGTGTTTGGCCATCCTGTGAGCTTGTTTCCTGGGTGTTAGCAATTTGCAGTGATCATGGCAATTGCTGTCCCTCTTATCAGCTCTCTCTGAGATCCAGGAGCAAAGTTCTGACTTAGCAGCACTAACATTTCAGAAAGCAATTTCTTATCAGGGAAACGAAATGACTCAGTTACTCGAGGTCACAGCCTCTTCTGTCATTAGGGAGCAGCTGAAGCAAGAATTCTGCTCTCCTCAATACTGCCCAGGTAGACCAGGGGAGAGCTTATTTTTTTTGGTGAAGGTACTGCTTCAGCATTTCAAAACAGTGCATTGGATGTGTTAAAGATATAGCATAATTTTTCTTTTACTTTTTTACAGTGTTCATTAATATTCTTTGAACTTCATTTTTAGATGAATCTGGAAAAAACATATACCGAACACATGCACCATTAGACAGAAATCACAGAGATTAATTTGCTTAGACTCAGTTATTTATATTGTCAAATATAAAAAAAGTTTAAAAGGTTTTGTGACACTAATAAATTTTGGTTAATTAAATTCTTTTACCCATTGTGTCAAAAAAATCCTGTTAGCTCTTCATTTACTTTCCAGTGTATTTGCCCTTTCACTGAAGAAGTACAAAAAAAAACCACCACAATCATTCACTTACAAAAGGTCGGCACACCCCGATCTCCTCCAGCACCTGCTTTTCTCCTAGATTTCCTCCTCACAGATCTGAAACACCAGCAAGGTGAGACACCCAGGGCCAGGCAGCCGGGCTATAGCCCACGGGGCAGTGCTATGGCTGCTGTTTTTGCCCCAAGGAGCTCTCCGGGAGCAGCCGCGGCGCTGGGAGCACAGGGGAGCAACCTCTGTGCGCCGAGGCAGCAGGTCGCACCCATTGCTGCACCACGCTACAGCGGCTGTGTGGCGTGGATGTCTAGGAACAGCTTTTGCATAAAGATTTGGCACGATTTCCAGCTCAGCTTTGCAAGCTGCGGTGTCTTAAGGTGTTGAACAGAAGCCTGACGCTTACAGCCCTTGTTAGCCTGTGAGACCTGCACTACTTACCGGCACAGCCTATGAAACACCGTGTAATTACACACACACACAAATACTCGTAGTAATTTTCCAAGCATGTGTCTGTACTCTGGCAGAAGGGCGTAAAGGGTTTCCATTCTGGTCCTGGTGCTGTAGCAGCACAGGTCCCATGAGCAGCCACTCATCTCTACACAAACTCTTTCCTCTGTGGGGACAGGGCAAGTCTCAGTCCTCTCGCACAGTGTCTGTCCCCCGAGAGGAAAGAAGGCCACCTTGCGATGGGGAGGTGACTCACTCGTTAAATGGGAACTGTAATTGAGGGATAGGAACTGTCATTGGGAACTTTGGTGAAGGAGAAACACCTGGACCTTGAACATGGAGAATGGAAACCAGGATTTTAAAAAGTTGTTTTTTTTTAACTCAGTCTGAGAACTGTACCAAAAATACACAGTGAAAATAAAGAAAGGCAAATAGATGGAGAGGGGGACAGCAATGTCTGCTGAACTTCTGTCGGGGAACCGCACAGCAGAAGGTTTCTGTTCTTGCAGGGATCCCTACTTTATTGTGAATAACGCATTGCTGTTAGGCTGAGGGCACGTGTGCCCTGTTTCTGCTACCAAACTTGTATTTGGAAACAGTGATATTTTGGTAATCTAATAGCCTAACCAGGTCACTGCAGTGCAACAAGGCCAAGAATAAATGCTTTTACAATTATTATTGTTTTGTAATCTGCAGGAGTTCCCCAGGAGTTCTGCAAATTTCAGTGTGCACAGCTGTTTCAGAAACGCACTATCAGCAGGAACCCAAAGATAACGAGATTACTGGAAGCATAATCAGAATTACAGCTAGATGGATAACGAGATTACAGGAAGCATAATCAGAGTTTTTTTATTTATGTATATGTACGCGGGTAGACACTGTAAAGGTAGCAGCATCAGGGCGTCTTGGCTGGCGCAGGCGAGCCAGCGAGTCACCTGTTCTCACTTCTGTGTAAAGTGCAAGCAGGTCAGAGGCTGGTGTGTGGGTGGTGGGGCAGGAGATAAGCAGCACGGAGAAATGGGCAGCGTGAGCAGTTTCCTCAGCCCACGCCAGAGCGCTGCCCTTTCGCCTGATCAGCCAGGTAGTTTCCAAGAAGGAGCACGAGCCCTGTTTGCCTAAACTGCGAACCAGGCTGCATGGGAAGAGCTTTTCAGCGGTCACAAGGAAGATCTCAGACCCCCGTGTCGCACACGGGCAGGGTACTTAGCTAGGGTAGGTACTCAGAGTAAGTGCCATCGACTTGGGAATGTGAGTTCTGCCTGCTGGGGACGGTGATTAATGCCTGACGAGAGCTATTTAATCTGCACGCGCTACTGTGTAACTTTTTTTTTTCCTCTTCCTCTTTCTTTTTTACTGCTTAAAAAAGAAAAATGTTTTGCAAGGCCAGCGGGAAGCAGACAAAATCTGGAGCAAAGAAGGATTTTACGCAGTTGTCATATTTCTCAGCATCTTTGTCATTCTAGTAACTTGTTTAATGGTAAGTTTGCTTTTTTACCTTTTTTTTGCTGTTCTTTACTTTGTGCTTTTCTGAGTTTTGAAGGATAGAGTAACATTCTTTACATGAGAGGTGTTTCCTCAAAGCTGTTAAAAACTCAGCTAGAAGGTAATGAATGATTGGTCACTCTCATCGTGCTGAAGCCAAAGTTTGAAGAAAAATGTTTCTTGAGATATTCTGAGTCCAACTGAAGAATGTCTTTGAAGAAAGCTGAAGAAATAAATTGTGGGCTCTTGAGTCTGCAAAGTAACTCTACAGTGATGTGAGTGATGACTTCTCGACATTCTTACTAGGTCCCAGGATCCCTGAAGTCATGTTAGGCTACTGCATTTCGGTTCTGTTGGATAATAAAACAATACCACACTGGTACACTCTTGGCAATGTACATTTGTTAGAAAGAGAGAGAGCACGTGTCTGTGTTCAGGTACTGAATATACAAATTTTAAACTGAAATGATTACTGAGAACACGAAGGAGTGATCGTGTCTTTGAACAGCTCTGACAGTCACACTGTGTGAGTTCAGTGGCCACGTTTCTGGGCACTGGGTGTACTTACAATATGCTGAATGTGCGACGTGCAATGGTCACACAGAACACAAACAAGGCTCCAGCACCACTGACTTCACAGGCTGTTTTGCCTTTTTTTTTTTTTTTTATCTTCTGTGGTGCATAAACCTATGGGTTTACTGAATTCTGTGACAATTCTCAGCATTTATGAATTCATAGCATCTTGGAGTGTTTTATGCTATTTTGCTTTCAAACATACTTACTTTTCTGTAACCTAGATGGATTTCCCACTTACAACCTTAAGATGGAAAGAATATTCACGCTAAAGATCTAAAAGAGCATAAAATATATAATATAACCTTTTTAAAGCTTAAGAGCTCTCCAAAATATTTAAAAATGTTTTTGCTCTTACAAAAATTGTTCTTTATTTATATAACTTCCTTCTAGTCATCTTCATTTCTCCTTGCCATCTCCCTCAAAGACAACAAAGTAAATTTTTACTCAAAAGAGAAGAACACAGGATATTTTGTCCATTACTGACTTTAACTGGAAGGCTGTAGAGCATAGTGTCTGTCGTGATCATGGTACTACGTAACATTTTCATTAATTATTTGGAAGATGTAGATAATATTGGGAACTGTAAACATTGTGGAGGATGCTATCAGAACTTAGAGTATTCTTAGCAGAATGGGGAAAAGTTGTGAAGTAGCAAAAATGCTGTTGGAAAAGAACCCCATCGTGTGCATAAATACAACCTAGGAACTACCTGGTGAAGCAACAGTTTTTAGGATAGGCTCCAGCAGTACAGCAGAGCCCATACTGAAGGGAATGAGTAACATCATGTTGTTGCAAAAAATTGCAGTTCCTTCCCTGGGATGTACATGTATAAATTAGGTCACAATCTCTAAGATCTTCATGTTTGAGAATCCTGTTGAGAAAACTCAATATGAGAATGTGTTGAGTTTTCAAAGGCTGTAGTAAAGAAGAAGGTACTCCTCTGTCCACTAGGTATAGGACAAGAAGCAAATTTTTGAAAGAGTCACTCTGTCACATCATTAGAAAGAACTTTGTAATCATGTGGGTCACTAAGCCCTGGAGCGCATTGCCTGGGGAAGCCTGGGAGTTTTCATCAATTGAGGTTTTAGGCAAACATCTGTCAGGATGACTTTGAGTATAGCTGATCTGGAGTTAGGGCAGGGGGAAAGACTAGTAGATGCCTTGAGCTCCCTTCCAGCTGGGTTTACTGTGATGTTGTGGTCCTCTCTGCAGGCATTCCCTTTTCTGTCCCCTCCTGGCTCCAATCTGCATCTTTATGTGTGCTGCTCTTCAGACCATGTAAATGGGCACTGACTCAAATTTTGCTGGGACCCACTGATAAAGAAAGTATGTGAGATCTATAAGGGTAACAAACAGTGCACTTCACTTCGTTTTTCATCCCACTTCACAGATTTGTGAAAAGCAGTCTCTTGGATCATTCAGCCCTAGTGTAAGGCGTTGGAGCTGGTTCTGTGTGGCTCTGGCTGTTGTCCTCATATGAGACCACCCAAATGAGGCCTCTTTTTTAAAGTTCCAGGGTGGGCACCGGATCGCTTTTAGGTGGTTATTCACAGTTTAAAGGGTCCAAAAGCAGAAAGCTGGGTCCGTGGCTACAGGTGACTTGGAAGTGTCCTTTAAAGCATGGAGTAGGAAGTGAATTAAATGATGGTCAAGATGATCATTGAGGATGATCAACAGTGCTTAATGTAAGGCAGCTCAGTTGTCCGTGTCAATGCTTTGTTTTATGAAATTACTACAGAAACAGTAAACCTGCAGCCTTGTCTCTTAACCGGGTTGTACAAATCACGACACTTCCCTGCACTGCGAGAGCACTGCACATTAACAGCCTTCAGGCTTCTTAATACTTGGCTGGAATTTAACAAATATCTGACCTCTATTACATAAAAATTTACAGTGCAGAGTATCGCTAGAGGGTGAGATACAGCAGCACGTGAGCTGAACTCGGACTTGCAGATTGTACCTCTCTGGTCATTCTGCGTATTTACTTGGCCGGTCCTCGTTGCCACAGGATGAGCCTCGGGCATCCCAGGAAGGATTCATCCTACCAGGAGGCCAACGCACGGCTCACTGCTGCCCTCAGCAGCAGGACAGACCAGGGGCTCACTTCGGCTGGGAACATCGTGTGTCTTTTATAAGTTGGGATAACTCCTTTAAGTGCTCCTATGTGTGAAATAGGGCTCTATTTTTTGCTTTACGTAGAGAAATAATTGAGCCATCTCTAAATGTAATAAATAACACAATATATGACAGTGGATTAAATTATTTGTTATCAATATTTCATACTAGTTTTGTAATTTTGCCTGTTCTGATAAATCAATATATTTTCATATCCTTTCTCTTTCTTTTTGAAATTATAACCTCTATATATAAAAAACTCAAGTGGTCTGGAAGTATCATTTTCAGATTATGAAATATTTGTAGCTAGTTGAGATAAGAGAGGTTATAAATGTTGTTCTTTTTCCCACTTTAAAAAAAATATGAAAAAGTAGGAATATTTTTTCATTTAGAATAATGAAAGGCATGGATTTTGTCTTGTCAACAAATTGTGAGAGTCTAAGTTTTATTACTGGCTCCACTGCTTTATAAATTATGAACAGTTATTTGATGCTTTTGGGAGATAGTTACTTAAATTAGGAATATATTTCAGCTTCATGGATGTATTTTGGAAATAACAAGAAGAATATTGAATAACAAAAAATCAACATTTCAATATCTGATTTTTCACATGGCCTATCACTTGTTTCTAAACTTACAAGTTTCAGCATTCATAAAATGCTGCAGGGCTTCTGAGAGCAATTTGATTATAAGCTTTCTGCAGCTAACTAATATCAACCCACCAACTTCAGCTCTTTTTTTACCAGTTTAAAGATTTAAAGCAAAATTTAAGGTACACAGTTTAATCATACTGCAATAGTGTTTAAACAGTCTTGAAATTAGCATTTTTGTGTATAAACTAGTCCCGGATTGTCTGAATTCTTTTATTCTCCTTCCATAAAGCCTTTTATAGTGCTTTGAAATCCAGGTATCCAAGTGCCTCCCACTAATAGTTCATTAAACAACGTGAGTAGCACGTTGTTCTTTCATACCCTCCCCAGGGTTTGAGGGAAATTTTGCTAGTTGGTTTTTGTCTCATGTGTACGCACACACAGAGCAGCCCAGCTCAGGCAGAGGTATGCACACGGCCGCATACGCTTGTTGATAAGCACTCATTAGAGAAAACACTTTTAATTGGAGTGAACGATCTTAATTTCCTTGGTTTCAGCGAGATTTCACTATGCAGCCCTGGGTGCCCTAAGTATCTGTAGGCAGATGAGCTTTCCTATCGCTTCTCCGCGTAACGGTTGCCAAGATCTTCATCCCAGAGACCTACTTCTCTCTTTGGGATTGCCCATTCCTCTCTGAAGAGGAGTAAAAGGAGTATCCACTGGTAGTTTGAGTGGGTAGCTAGGAGGTTCTGGCCATGCTAGCATGTCAGCTTTCTCTTGCAGACCACTGAGTAGAAATGGAGAGTGAGTATCGTGCTGTCGGTACGCTGTCATTCTTCCATATAATCTGAGTCAAAGAGGACAGAGAAAAAGGAGTCATTTTTGTAAGAACTGAGGTTTCAAACCCCAAGTCTAATGCATGAAAAATGAAGAGATGACCCACCTTGTATGTCCTGGAAAACAGCACTTCATGTTGCTCCATTGCTCCATGCTTCTTAATAATTAGCATACTTAATCTTCTGGGGTATCAGTAAATCATTTCTTTTAGTTCAGGGGCTTTGCATCTGTTTTCACCTGTACTGACAGACATGTTTAATGTGACTTGAAATACA